ATATCGAAACTCTTTCCGTTTTGGGTTGTCGTTTCAAAGTAAGTTATCCTGAAATGTTATATGTTTATATTTATCTTGAATTGCTATAGGTTTTACAGTAATATATATCGACTGTATTTACATATACAACATTTCTGTCTACAGTATTAAATATGAAGCAGTTAATATATACATCGACTGTACTTACATTTACAACATTTCTATCCCTTCTAGGTGTATATTTTGGTGTGTGTTCGCGGGGATCTTTTGGTCAAATCAAATCAAAGGGGACCGTTCATTTTATATGTTTCAAAAGCAGTGAAGTGTGAGCTCGCTGTACTTGTATTCCCAAACTTGCTACTGCGAAGTGTGATCTCGCTATAATATTTATATTTTATACTAGCGAAGTGTGATCTCGCTAGCTGGGCAGTCGTTGGCAATAATAAAGTTGTTTCGTGTTGTCAAAAGATCAAGGTATTGTGTATCAAAAGTTACAAACATATAGGTTGTGTGTCAATAAGAAAATTGCCAATAAAAATAGTTGATATATATTACAGTAAAATGATTATGATATACAGTAAAGCCCCGCGCATAAAAGTTCAGTGAATTTTGACTTGCTTCACACAATATTTTTTTATATTCTACATATTAAATAGGACCTGTTGTTGCATAAAACTATTGCTATGACACTAATATGGTTGTTGTGACATATATCCAAACTTAAAAAGTTTTTAAAAACTTGTATTTTGGGTGCTTAATTGCCAAAATTTCAGACTAGTGGTTCTTAACCTACTGGTGGGGCTTTACTGTATATCAAATAACTTATGCATAATGAAGTCTCAAGGCTTGATGCCTGCGAGAAATACTGGTCTTAATAGTCATGACCTGGGACAATTTCGATAGTGGCCATTTGCAATTGTTTCATTTTCCTGGGCGATGACTACTATTAAATCGAGCAGTGTGATGCCCACATTGGAACACACAATTGTATATAATAATGCTCACAATTTCTTTCTTATTATATATATAGTCATTACAAATAATGGTCATCTGAAGCTGATGTATTAAACAAAAATGTCAACAAAATAGATTTTGTCTCCTGATTGGCAGATTCATTGTTCAGTTGTTCTACAGTAGGGGTAGCCTTGAAGGTGCCACTAAAATGATATAGTAGTTGGGACAAAACTGACTTCAAAGGGCCTGTTCATATGGGCAAAAGTTATCTCGGTTTAAGGCCCTGTTCACATGATCCCGGGATAAACAACTGCCCTGCGACAAGTCATTGACCCAGGGTACTGATATCTTCTGTTCACATGAATAAAGCTAGCGCGCCGGGTCATGCCTATAAATACATTACGCGGGAATCATAAAATATTCCTGCCAACGGGAAATGGTGAAATATTGCTAAATAAAAAACATTCTGATAAATGCAAGTCGTCGTTATTTTTTGTTATGATATTTACAAATAGAACGTACTAGTTGATTATCAGCCGTAATAAAATGTGCTCAATTCATTGTTTCTGGTTGACCAGATCAAATTCTTTGAGTAACATACTACATGATATTAGCGACAATTTTATTTCAATATTTTTAGAATCATCACTTATAGATTTCTAATGATATCGTCAATCAAATAACAAGTTTTTGTGGAGTCCAACGTGCTCTAAATGTAATTTTAGCCACGATTTTGATCGTTTCACCAAAATTCAATTATCCCGGGACAGTGTTCACATGAGGAAAAGTTGTCCCAGCAAGGCGAGTGTCCCTGTCTATAGAAGTGAGGCACTCGGGTCAATTCTTGTCCCAGGACAAGTAAAATATCATGTGAACAGCACTATTCTTTTACTGAGGAGCCAAGACAATTTTTGTCCCGTGACAATTGCTTGCCCCGAGACATAACGCTGTCCCGGGTTCATGTGAAGACTAGCCAAATACTTTTGTTCTGTTCACATGGAGGAAACTTTACCTCGCTTACCGGGTAAAGTTTCCGGCTGTGACGTAGCGCTGAACATGAATTGAATTGAAAAGTTGCTGACACAACAGAAAGTTATCCCGCTAAGCGGGAAAGTTGTGTTCATATGGGAAAAACACCGAGGTCTCGGTACACGGAAAAAGTTGTTGTCTCATATGAACGCAATGTAACTTTTCATATTATTTTCATACCAAGGTGAGATCTCGCTTGAAACTTCTTGAAAAGTTTTCTCGCTAACACAGATAACTTTTGCCCATATGAACAGGCCCTTACTGGTAGTATTTTTATGTATGAAATTTTAATTAAATTCTACATATCCAATGATTCATTCAAGTATTATTATTGTTTGTTATACATGTTATTTACAGTATTCAGTGGCAAGCTAGCCATGACAACTGGTCAAGCTAAAATTGCCAATAAACCTGCATCTATCTGAATAATGCAAATCATTAAAAATGTGCATAGCATGACCTGTAGACTTTCACAAAGTCCTTCCTTTTTTTAGAACGAAGGAATTTTCAAGGAAGTAATTTCTTGAAGAGTAAGGAATTTGTGGAAGTCAATAGGATTTAATAGAATCATAGAGATTATAAATAACACTAGAGGAGGCATCGCAATCTTGACATTAGGCAAAAAAGGAATCCTGCTATTGGGGGCAAATTCCTGCATGTGTACTTGTGTTCCCATTGGTGAGAGCATGATTTTATATCCGGGACCTACATTTGCCCCCCCCCCCCTAGACGTGTTCCCAAATTTTTAACCTCAATGCCTCTTCTAGTGTTATTTATAATCTTTATGATTAGAATATCTAGCCGACCTTCGACTTTGTGCAAGCTGTTTTCGCATTCAAACTGCACCTTTCCTACCTCCTGGTGTCTTAGGGGTGCCTTACGTGCTTGTGTGATGGAAGACGGGTTGAGGCAGCATTTTCCTTGCGATAGTAACTTCTAGTATACTTTATATTTACGTCAGTCCGCCGATAATGCAATCGAGTGGCGATTTATATTACGTCAGTTCGCCGATAATGCAATCGAGTGGCGATTTAATATAGGCTACATTTCGCAATATATTTCGCTAATTTGTGATTATTTTCGTTAAATTTTATAATTTCACTGCAGTTTTAATTTAAATTCAGTCGTTTAGTGGGCTGCCTATGCTCCCATTATCTTTTAAAAATTAAAAATAAAAGCAGATCAATATTATGTGAAATATTTACCTGTTTGCTCTGCCATCAAATATCGCCTTTGCCTATTTCTCAGGTACATTAATGCCTGGGTCTCAGTTTGTGTATTTAGCGAAAATAGACAAAAAATCATAAAAAAATAAGTATGGCCTTGATTATTACCATTCAAGTTTTATATGATTTATCAAAGGAGATTTTAAAAGTTGACCTACTTTTCGTTGTCATGACAACGATCACGTGATGTATAATTCGAAAAACAACACAGTGAAATGATACGTTCTATTCAGAGGCTCTGCAGCAGTATATTTCGTGACTGAGAGGACGCAGATTGCGATAATCATTCACACATAATATAACTGTTTATTGAATAAATCCGGAAAGTTTACATTTAGGCTTCGTTTCATTATTTTATGCGGCTATATTACGATGATCGGCGCGGCATCAAACGAATGTTAATCGCGTCATTAAATGTTATCTACAAATAAATGTACGGTTTCCAAATTAACGCAGGAAACTTTGTTCCCTTGTTAATGTTTTTAGCTAACAAAAATAGCAAAATTTCGTCAAATTACCCTGCTGCAAGTCGAACGCGTTTTTCGCGTGATGAATTTCACGCGCCATAATGAAACAGTCTGCCGCTTATTGTAAGGGATATTATATTTCCAATAACAAAATTCATTGCGCATTCAAGCCGATATCTTGAAGCGTATTTAATGCTTGAAGGGAAGCATGGCATGGTGGAAAAGACCGAGTGAACTATATGTGCTATTAATTTGTAATTCACAAGCAATTTTTCATTGAAAATAACAAACAGTCAACAATTAATAATGAATAATCGCAAGATAGCGCACCATAAGAAGCTTTTATTTATCAGCAGTTCAAAGGTCAGCTGTCGCAAATGATACAATACTTATTGGTTTTTTTTAATTTATTTAATTATTTCGCCCAAATTTAACATTGATTATTAATTAATATTATTTACAAATGAGGGCTAGAGGCCTACTAGAAACCATCAGGCTTTTGTTTAAGGCCCCTAGTGTAATCAATTATATATAATCATACATTTAACATTAACAGTTCAACAAAAAATATTTAACTAGAATGTTCATAATTAACAATAAATGTTCAGAATAAAATTATTTTCATAAAGTCGAAGATTCCGTAGATACTATATATCGAAAACTGCATGCATCCATGCATGTGTACACTATTAAATATATATATATATATATATAGTACATACAATAATTCTAGAGTATACATATTTTTGTTATCTGATTTATTTTACAGAGTTAGATAACTGAATTGATTTGTAAAAAATATTTTTTTCTTTTTCTTTTGAATGTGCTGTAAGATCCTGTTTTTTTATAATGGTTATCAAGACTATTCCATACATCAATTCCTTTGCATGCGAGAGAATGTTTTTTGTAGTTTGTTCTTTTATATGTTTTATGTAATAGTGAAGAACTTCTTGTGTTATAACTATGAAACTCATTGTTTTTTGAAAAATAATTTTCAAACATTTCTGGTAAGTTTTGTAAGTTATAATACCTAAACATGAACAAACATGTTAGGTATGAATTAATTTTGTATAAATCGAGTATTTGTAAATCATTAAAAATTGGTTCAGTGTGTTCAAAATAAGATTTGAAAGTCATTAATCTTACAATTTTTTTTTTGATATTTACCAGTTTCGCGATCCTGTTTTTGTAGGTATTACCCCAAATTAGGTTGCCATATATAAGATATGGATAAACTAATGCATAATAAACAAGTTTTAGAGACTTGAGATTAGTAAAATGACGAATCCTGGAAATAATTGATGCAGATTTGATATTTTTTTTTGATATTGAATTTAGATGATTTTATTGCTATACAAAGAGCCAATTATTACATCAGAACTGAATAGTATACCGACTTCTTGGCATTGTATATTCCAAAATAATCCTGTCGCTGATATATACTATATTTTGATTTGAAGCAAACGCCCGAATTCACTAAAATACTCCCACAAGGGGCGCATATTCTAACAGACGTATTACTGACAGATCGCGCGTGCAACCCGCGCGCAAGATATCATCCAAGCGTGGGCAGACCCAGGCCAGAGGACCCAGGCATTAACATGCCTGAGTTAAAATTTCTCGGGGTTTTCATATTGATTTGTTGTCTTTCGCGGGCGAGAATACCGTGCACGACTTTTAAATCTTTGAACAAATGGTCAAAAGTCGAAAAAATATAAAAAAAACAACGAGATTTTACTGCAAAAACCTCGAAAAGCAAAAATTTTTTTCATAAAACCAGGGGGGGATGAAAATTGTAGCGGGCTCAGAATTGAGCCTGGTCAGCGGTAATTCCATGAGCCGGAGGAACCAGTTGTCATGGAAATGGCGTCATATGGCGCGAAAATCCGCCATGTTTTTGCGGACACTTTTTGTGCCGAGCACCAGTGCCGAGCATTGAACTATAAATAAACTGGAAGGCTAACTCAGGGGGGGAAATTGAAGCCAGTGCATTTTAGTTTTTCTGAGTTATGAGCAGAAATACTCAACACTGAACGTTGGGCTATATATCAAATTGAAGCTATTGAAAAATGCTATTTGGTGTAGAAATTTCAAGACTTTAGCTAAAAGGGAAATATTGAAAAACTACAAACATAATTACCGATAATTTGCCGTTTTGCAGTTGTTTTTGTATTTTTTAAATATTTTTCTTTTCGCTGAAGTCTTGAAATTTCCACACCGAATAGCAATTTTCAATAGCTTCAATTTGATATATAGTCCGACGTTTGGGGTCAAGTATTTCTGCTCATAACTCAGAAAAACTATTTTGGCTTCATCAAATCATAGGCCTTTATCATAGCATAGGCAGCCCAAAACGGCGTGTAGAATGCGCCAATAATGCTTCCAAATGTCAATTTGCATTAAGCTCGCCCCATTCCTTTGTCATTTGTCGCGCGCCGCAAGCACTCAATTTGAAAAGCAGTGTTGATATATATAGATTATACCAAATTATATAGTTACAGTATTAAAAACGCTATAAAATAAGTTCATACCTATAACTTTTCTGAGCTTCACAACGAAGCGTGCTCGCATTACATATCGCCGTCTTTTTTATAGCACATTTTCTTCGCCATTATTGCTCAGAATTTCATGACATTTCGTGTACATGTAGCCAAAAGTTACCTGGTAGTTTTGCTGTAGATAAAAGTTATGGATGGATGTAAAAAGTTTTTAAAATCCACCATTTCATCTTCGAAAAAAAATCGCTCTTGTATTTTAGCAGTCTTCCTGTTGTAGTTCAACCCCCCTGAAACCAAATTTTTACTATAAATACGTCACAAACTGTTTATTTTTTCAACCAATTGAATCACATAATTTTTTTAAAAATATGACGGATGAAATAACCTTTGGCATCCCGCATAGTCACATCAAAATTTTTATCAGACCATGAAACGTTTGTGCAAATTTTTCATCTTTCTTGCAGTCTTGAAAACAAAATTTATATGCGGGTATGTAGAAAAAATATCAGAGTTCAATGTGGTATAATTTTTTATCATGTTTTATTTACGTATACGAAGTATTTTGCGTTCTGCCGAAGTGGTATATTCGTCAGTTGAGATATAGTTGCCAACCTTAGGTATAATGACAGAGTAGATAAGACATACAGAGACGTAACTGACCGTTGTAAACACTGCGGAAGATTACGTTATCATGTACCCACTTTTTTTCAGGCGACTGGGCGAAAAATGATCAACTGCGCGTGCTCAGCAAGTTTAAAGTGAGTCGTCATCAGGTCGTCATCCAATCAGATGCATGCATCTAGTAACTTGCCGAGCATGCGCACAAAAACGTGGGTACACTAGTTACGTCTCTGTATGTCTCTACTCTGTGGTATAATCTATATATATGATATCAACACTGCTTTTGAAATTGAGTGCTTGCGGCGCGCGACAAATGACAAAGGAATGGGGCGAGCTTAATGCAAATTGCATTTGGAAGCATTATTGGCGCATTCTACACGCCGTTTTGGGCTGCCTATGATCATAGCAGTTAGCCTTCCAGTTTATTTATAGTTCAATGGTGCCGAGCACTTCCTCCAGTAATATAGTATAGCTCAGTGGCGGGAACACTGAGAGCGGGAAATACAGTTCATCAAGAACAAGATGGCCGTCGCTAGAGGAGCAATGATTGTTTTCGAAGGTTGTGATCGTTGTGGTAAATCTACTCAATGTGTGAAACTTGTAGAATATTTACGATCAATGGGAAGAAAGGTAGAACTGTTTAGATTCCCAGGTTTGTATACTGTGTACACAGAAATATTTTGTACTCATTGTGGAGATTTTATCCATGGTATCAATGTGTCCTTGTGGAAGGCTGGTCTCCTCAGCCGCAGGAGATCTCCCGCAGATTTCTGCGTGTTGTGTCGAAGCTACCGCATGGCCGAAATTTGCTGCCACACTTCGTGTTTCTGCCATTTCAGCAGTTTGGAATATTTACTGCATGTTTGTTGTTTAGTCACAAAAAGTTATAGCCAATGTTATCGATTATTATCGATTTTCGTCGATATTTATCGATTTGTATCGACAAAATGCTTTCGATTTTTATCGATTTATATCCTGAATTTTGTTTGATGCATGCGTATTAACAGAGATTTTTAACATCAATGAAAATCGATAAATCGATGAAAGTCACAGCAAAACAAGCCATCAATTATTCATCGATTTCCAATATCAATTGATTAATAAATATCGATTGGTATTGATTGATATCGATACTCATCGATTAAGTATGCCAGGTTGATAAAACCAAGGATAAAACTGCAGGACATTAGTCAAGTAGTCTAGTTGTCACAAAGTCGCATAGTCATTAATAGTCAATACACAAAGAATTGAAAGAAATATGTCTAAAAGAAATTGTGTTTTACAGGGTTCGAATTAATTCTGAAAAAATGGTTCGTGAATTAATTTTTTTATTTTAAGGAAATTTTAAGGAATTTTCAAAGAATTTTCACTAATTGGAAGTTAAAAAGTGGAAGCACTACAATTTTCAAATATATGCATCGCAAAAAACCATATATGTTGTAAACTCGCAAAGAAATAGAATTTGGGTGGAATTATAATTGTTTTAAAGTACAATCTAACAACAATATCTTCAAAATATGTGATCCTTCATCATATTTACAAAGAACTGAATTTGTTATTGTATATTTTTATCAATTTCAGAGACTTTTGATTCGTGATTTTGATCAATTTTTATGAAATTGAGTTCGTGAAAAATGAAAATTGATTCGTGATTCACGAATCACGAACCGTTATTTCGAACCCTGTTTTAGTAGTCTTACCTGGCAAGAATTCTTGCAATCAACCTTTTCTCCAGTTAGCGACGATCCTGGAAAAATATATAGTTTATATATATATATATATATAGTTATAGCTTTTACTTATTACTGGATATACTGCCTGTCACAAGCTTTACATTTCTCCCACAATATCCTACCACATTGCTGGTTTTATTTTATTTATTCATTTTGTCACACACATAAAAGATATACATTTACATAGGATATATAATAACAATAACTAGAAAAATGCTGTGAAAAATGTATCCTACTGCATTGGAGCATTTACAAAGCAGCCTCCCTCAGGAGATCTTCCACTAGAATGGCCCACTTTCCAGTCTGGACAATTGTAACAATTTCAATTTGGTCTGTCAAATACCTGATTAACTGTGCAGTACATTGCTCAGACATATAATAGCTTGTTCTTATCACTTCCCATATGATCGGTCTTATTCACTTTTTACCAAAATTCTCGTCTTGAACGCACTTTTGTCCTTCCAAGCACCATAATTATTTGCAGGCCTGAATGTGATACCTGAGGGGCATAGCTAAGGAGGGTGCAGTGTCCGTCGGCACAATAAACTAGTTGTTGGCAAAATGAATTGGATCAAGCCAATCCCGATTGGAGAGAGGTTGTAATTTGTAGAAAATGCAAGATCGAAAAGATGGATATGTCGACTGAAAGCTTGGCCCTTTTCCGAACATTTGGCCAAATTGGCCAAGAAGTCCAACCACCGTTCATATTATATGCTAATACGGTATTAGTATTATATTTTCTTGCAATTCTGTGAAATATGATACCATAGGAAATTCGAAGCACATGTGCATGTTGACTGCACTTCATTTCATAATCTTGTAAAGCCAGTAATACAATGAGAAATACAAAGATGATTTAAAAGTATGGACAGTAGCAAGCAAAAAACGCAAGCAGGAGAGAGAGAAACTGACATGTTTAGTTTGTATATGTTTAGTTTGTATATGTTTAGTTTGATGTTTGGATGTGCTTTCTTGACATTTATACCATGTATTTTAAGAAACTCTTTTGCCTATTTTAAAAATAAATTATCTTACTACTCAGAGTTCATCTTTGTACATCACTTAAAAATGAATATGGTTCGTTTTGACCTAACCATGCGCTAGCTATGCTCTTTTGTTGGTAAAAA